CTTTGTATTTCCTACAATTTAAATTAATTAAATGTATTAAAATCAATTAAAAATCCAATTAATTAATAAAAATAAGAAAATAAATTCAATTAAGCTTGATGGGTCGTGCATAGGCCAAGGATAAAGTTTCAAGAAGAAATTTGAGGCCCATTAGTAAAAAGAAGGTGTTTTGAGCAAAGTTGACTTTTGCAAATTCATAAAAATTTCCCAACTTCTCCAATGCATATCTTGCTCAATTTTGATCATATGAACATGTTCTTGGACATTTTGGAAAGGTCTTGAAGTCCTCTAACCAATGCCTTTGGTCCCATGTTATTTTTATTTACCAATCTCAAGTTATGGTCTTTGACTTAAAGTGCATTTTTGTTGACTTTTGAAATTGACCTATAATGTAGAAATTGATAACTTCTTGTGAGAGCATTTCTTGGACTTGGAATGTGAAGATGGATTGTAGGAAATGTCCTCCCCTTCAAAATGAGCATTGGATGAGATTTTTCTGATGAACCATGAAAAAGTTATGCCCTGGTCAAGATACAGTTGACTTTCCTGCTGTCCCAAAATAGTAACTTTTTGCACCTTGATGATTTTTGAGTCATTCTTGTGGAATCATGATCAAGATTTGATCAAATGATGATTGTGAGTTCAAAATAAGATGTTGACCAAAAATTCTGACTTTAACTGCAAAATGACCATTTTGCCCCTACAGTTAATTGTGAATCAAATGGAGCTTTTGACTGTGGAATTTGGCCCTGTGAGTCTTGAGACTTGGCATGTAGGTGCTTGAGAACATGTATAGGCCTATGAGACTTGACTGAGCCATTGAAAACTTTAAATTCCTTGAAAGAACCCAAATCCTAGTTTTGACTGGCTTAGAAGGCATTTGGATTGTGCAACCCTTGAGAAATCTTGAACCATTTGAAGATGACTCTTGACAAATCTTGAAGAATATGGGAGATAAAATTTTGGGGTACAACACTTACTATTACAAATTGTGAGCAGTTACAATAATTAAAAAAAATTGTGAAAATAATGAACCTCACAAAAATATAACATAGGAAAAGGAAAGCGAAAGGGTTTTTTTAATGATTTTTCGATTAAAAAGGTTTGATGATTAACCTAAAAAAACCTAAATTGATTTTAATTAATTAATTTAAAAAAGTTGATTAATTAAATTAAAACCTAGAAAATCTAATTTGATTTATTAAATAAAAACCTAAAAAACTAATTAGGGTTCATAGAAAAATTTTAGAAAAAATTAATTTGTTAAAAAAAAGGTTTTGGTTTGGTGAATTTAGGGTTTGTAATAAGAAAATAGGGGTTTAAAAAATAGTTACCAGGGCTGAGTGTTGAACCTACGCCCTCTACCCTTTCAACCAGCACCTTCACCACTAGGCCAGACGCGCCTTGGTGTCAAGGAACAGCCTTAACGTGCTTTATCATCTGCAAAACAAAGAATATGTGAAAAAAATCAAAATACCAAAAGGCTGGGATCAAAACCACGCCCTGGCATAGTAACGCCTTAACGCACGCGCTTCAACCGCTGGGGCGATAATACATCTGTTGATTTATATGAAATAGATAAAACAAATATTAAACAAAAACGTCTAGACCGGAGAGACGCTGGAACCCTAGCTCCGATCGTCTTCTCAGGTAGCCCCTCTTTGTTCAACCTGAAAAATAAGAGATATTAGCAAACCTGGGGGACCCTACCCCTCTAAATCAGACCCTACGAATCTAATGAGATGGTTCTTTTTGGACTAAAACAAACTGATTTGAGAGCTATGGAAAAAACACATAGGATCGGTGTAGTTATGGTGGTTCATGATTTGGACAGCATGAGACCTCCACGATGGATTTTTCCCTCCCTTTTGAACCTCAGAAACACATAATTAACATTATTAGATGTTAAAATGCAGTGAAAAACAAGAATATGAAATTCATGCAATGATGGAATCGTGATGCATGCTTTAACGTTTCTGGCCGTTTGGATCATGGTAAACAATCTCCTCGTACCCTCTGATCCTTCTGGGAATGAATAGGATGGTTAGTATGTATTGAAAACGGTGGAAACTTTATTTTACAAGTTGCCCTAGGTTTGAAAATTTTATGATTTTTGGAGGCTTCTTGGACAAGGTTTTTTTTATGGCCTCTTGTCTGACTTCGCTGAGAATATATAACATGGAATTAGGTCAGAATATATGTGCTTAGACTTGTGTCAAAAGCCTTGTCTTATTTTATCTTATTTTGACTTTTAAAATAATAAAAAATCAAAAATAAAATATACTAAACAAAAGGGAGGTATATTAACAAGTCTTGCTAATCAGACAATTTTCCCGAATCCTGATAAGGAGTCTTTGCTTCCTTATTAAGATATTTTGCAGGATCTTGATAACAAGTTAATAAATTTTTCCAGATCCTTAAGGATATATTTTCAACTTATTGGGCTATTTTGTTCAATCCTAATAAAGTGTTATTGCTTTCTCATTGGGTTATTTTGCTGGACCCTGATAAGGAGTCTTTGTCGCCTCACTAAGTTGTTTGGATGGATCTTTATAAGGATTCCTTGTCGCCTTATTAGTCTATCTTGCTTGATATTGATAAGGAATTATTAGTGCCTTATTAGGATATTTTCATGGATCTTGATAAACAGTCCTTGTCACCTCATCAAACTATTTTGTTGGATTCTAATTAGGAGTTCTTGGTGCCTCATTAGGCTATTTTGTTGGATCATGATATAGTCATTGTTGCTTCATTCATCAATTTTGCTGGATCTTGATAAAGAGTCATTGTCGCCTCATTAGGATTTTTTCTACATCTTGATAAGGAGTTCTTACCGCCTTATTAGGATATTTTGCTGCATCTTGATAAGAAATCCATGTCACCTTATTAGGATATTTTGCTAGTTCATGAAAATAAATTTTTTACACCTCATTAGACTATTTTGTTGGATCGTTATAAGGAATATTTGTCATATTATTAGGCTACTATCACACTTGATTCTCATGAGGGTCCCATAACTTAGAAAAAATACACATAACTTAGAAAAAATAATAATTGAGCAGCGATAACATGAAATCAATAAACACACCGCTCAAAAGTGTGAATACTATTGTTAAAAGACTCTGAGGAAAGATGCTTGAAGAAACCCTCTAATAGGGCAATAATACAGAGATAGCTCAATAAGCATAAAAGGAGCTTAAAAGTTTGAAAGAGTTTCCTCCCTTTCCTCTGATCCATCCTCGCTAGTGTTTTCATTCTAATTGGTACATTTTCCTCCTCTCTAGGGGGTCACTTGTGGGGAGGGCTCATACTCCTTTTCTAATAGCTTCCCATCTTTAACAGTCTTGAACAACTCAAGCCCGCCTGAATGTAATTCATAATAAAAGTGGAGCAGTTACGCCTTAGTCCTTTCAAAGCATGTGTCGTCAACATCAACTACCTTGTCATTATGTAGCATTAAATGTTTCACGTGTCTCTAGAATCCTAATATTTCTCTCTTAGTGTAGTCGACTGTGGGGACTCGAGTATCTAAGACTCACCCGAGGAACTTATTTTCAAGTCTTACCTGGGGGACTCGACTATCTAAGTCTCACCCTAGGACTCATCTTTTTAAGTCTCGCATGAGGGATTCTTCTTTTTAAGTTTTGCATGAGGGACTTGATTATCTAAGTCTTACCTGAGGGACTCAACTATCCAAGTCTTGTCCGAGGGACTCTCCTTTTCATATATGACATGAAGGAATCTCCTTTTTGAGCCTCGTCTAAGGAATTGGACTATCTAAACCACGCTCGAGATAGTTACCTTTTAAAACTTCGTCCGAATGACTCGTCTTTCCAAGGCTTGTATTGTTGTCTACCTTGTTTAATCACTTCTTTCTGAGAACTCGTATTTGAAAGAATGTGGACTGAGAAAATTCTAATTGAAACTTGGAAGAGATCGACCAGTGTAATTTGTGACACTTAATTGAAAAATGTTTATTTAATGCAAAAGTTGTTTTTTATCTCTCGCGAATAAACTCAAATTTGACATAAGAGTATGAGTAGGAATGTCAACAGAGCAGAGAATGTTCGGAGGATGCTTCTCCGCTCCTCGCCCACCCCTAAATTTATTGTCCATCCCCGTCCCTAATCCTCGCCATGGGAGAATATTTTCCCACATCCCCATCCCAACAGATTCCTACGGAGATCCACGAAGATGAATCTTAAAAAAATTTCTATACTTTTCGATCAAAACTATGACACTAGTATTTGTTTTTTTTTTCTTTAAAAAAATATATATTTAGTATTTTTTTTAAAATAAAAATAAATCTTGCATCAATAACTAAAAAAAGTAAAAGCACTTGTAGTTGCTAATATTTTTCTGTAAAAAATAATAAATATTAAAGAACTTGTTGTTATCATGCTTCCACTAATTTATTATTATAGTACCGTTGTTGTCCTGTGCAAGTGGTTGATTATGTGTGAGTGTGGCAAATCTATAACCACTTATTTATTAATTGAATGAAAAATATGTTACTAAAGTGAATTTGAAGAGTAATTATCATAAGTACAATGAACAAATGAGAGTGGTTGTTATATTGATGATGAGAACCGAGAAGATAATGAATGAAAGAGACAAAGATAATTGAGAAAATAAAAGAAAAAAACAATTTGTACATTCTATGTATTTGATACACTTTTCTAAAATTAGATACTTGAGTAATAAAATATTACATTATATAATAAAATACAAAAATAAAATGATCTATTAATCTCACATAGATCAGGTAAAAGATATAAGTTGACATCCCTAAATATGAGACAAAATCAAATTTGATATTTTGCTCCATAATATTTATCTGACGAGAATAAAAAAAAAAGTGAATTAAACATTTCATCACCTTTTAATTCATTATATAAATAGGAACTTCCAAACAACAACAACAACATGATGTGCACACTGGCATAATTATTCATAGCAAAGCTATTATTTAGGCTTTAGTTAAATATATTTTTAGAAATCTAATTGAAATTTATTTGATATTTAGGCGATTTGTCAGGATTAAAGAGACCAAAATGTTGTTCAGTTGGTGCTCCATTCTTTTGATTTTCATCAAACATGGCAAACAAATAAGTCTCAATAGCCACACCAGGTTTCTTCACAGTCCCATTCCCACTCTTAACGTGATTAATCAAATTACTATAATATGTGGCAGCATTTTCAGGTGTTGCCCCATCTCCACCAGCAGATGGCTATCCACTCTCAGATACAACTATCTGCAAATTAGATCCCCCAACTTTCTCAAGAGCAGCATATACTAAATCTAACTGTGCATCAAAGAGATTTTGGTATCCGGCACCATTGTTTCCTTGTTGATTAAAAACAGCATAATCAAGATGAATGTTTTGTTTATCACCGACATAAGCGATGTACGGATACACATTTGCATATTTATATTTATATGGATAAGAAGAAGCCAACATTTCATGAAGTCCATATTTTGTATTAATTGCAGGGTGGTCCTCCAATAACATAGGACTTTTAGCCCCTTCAAGAACTCAACAATAGTTAATGCTATGATTTTGAATTTCAACCATTTTTTCGGTGCAATTGCATATATATTTGTTTATTAAATGGTCATATCCGTATCCGAGTTCACATTTACGTATGCATCAATATTTGTATATGAATGTATTTTATGAGTATTTAAATATTCATATTCATATTTGTTTATCTATATTTCTAATAAAAACTAATATATCATTTATAATTTATTATATTATTTTAAATTTTTAACAATATTAAAAAAATTTAAAAATGACATTGATGTGTGAAGAAATAAATACGTATTTATATTAAAATGTATACATGTTTAATACCGATATATTTAATAAAATTAATAAATTAATAAGTATATTTAATAAAAATAAAAATATATAAATATGAGACGGATAAGTATTAACTATTAAAGTATTCGCACCAGCGCACATATTTGTTTATTTTTTTTGAGTAATTATTTATATTTATTTTGCATATTTTTACCTTATCCATTATAGATAATTTTTACGAAAATCCATTAAAAATAGGTTCAATTGTCATCCTTATTATTATCATCATCATTATTATTAACCGGAAACATCAAGATTAATTAATTGTCATTGATTACTGATCTTACCGAATTAGAGATGGACCGTCACAGCTAGCTCGGGCAGAAGTTGAATGAGATGGGGGTACCTGCAAGACACTCTGATGGCAAAGTAAGTTGCGAAATGAGCAGGAAAGTAAGATTTCAGAGAAAGATGTTGAATACCTGACCCCCTCGGAAGAGAGGGTATTTATAGCCCCCAGCGCTGAGCCAAGGTCTCTTTATTGGACTGATCAAACAGGCCCAACATAGAGACTGTCAGGTTCTACGTGAGTAGTGGGGACCCGCACGTGGCCCCCTACCTGGATGACGTCCTCCGCAAGAGCAGGAGGATATGGACGCAATCTTTCCAGGACCAGAAGACTCCGTAATATCCAGAGAGGTTGGAAGTCAGCCCTACGAGGAAGGTGCTCAGGAGGAGTGCCTGCTCGTCAGGGATGGTCCCCGCGAGCACCAATGGGAAACAGTCTGTGTTCGAGGATAATACCGGTCAGCACAGCAGATTGGCACGCTTGGATTGGGCCTCACTGGAAGTTGGGCTAAGGGCAGGCCTAGTCCAGAATAGGAGCCCCCTAAGTCGTTGCTCCTGGTGAAGGAGTTATGACTTGATTCAAGTTCTCCCCTTCGTGAGGCTCACTGCATGACATGGATTTTTTTTTTACCGCGGATGGAGGACTTCGTCGGTTCATGATTTTGCTTCGTGCAGCGGTCAAAGCGTGTTCGAGGATTACTCGTGGGGAGAGGATGATACGCTTGCCAGACACATGGCGTGGTTCTTGGAAACAATAATGATGGCCTAGGGAGTATGGGCCATCATTTCCTGTACAAGTAGGTGTCGAGGAGAAAGGAAGCTTGTGATTGCTCGATGCGACGTTTCACATTCCACGTCAGCTCTATAAATAGGGTTTTAGGGCCCATAACTTACTTTCTCATTTTCGCGCTTCTACACTTTCTCTACCGTCAACACCGTGCGTTTTCCCAGAGTCATTGAGACAGCCGCACAGTTTGCCGCGTACCTATCTTAACAACCGCCGCTCTTCATCTTCCCTCCAAGTAAGCGTTCTTTTTCCTTGATATCTTGTGTTGTAGATGGATTTTGATGGTGTTTAGTAATAGGATTTTGTGTCTGGGGGTTAATCCCGTGGAATTCAAGCGTTTTAGGCGTCTGATTCATGAGAATGCTTGTAGCTTTCATACGTTTAGGCATACAATTTATGATCATGCCTGTGATATTCATGCATTTAGCTAACAAATTTATGAACTTGGTCGTGAAATTCATCCTTTCGTTAGTATCTAGGCTAGTTTTCCTCGTGACCTTCTTGTATCTGGCTAACAATTTTATGAACTTGGTCGTGAAATTCATTATTTGCTCGTGATATTCTTCGTGTGCCCGGTATATTTATGATAGATATAGGCGTTCTTCGTTAGGATCGGTGCTTGATCGAGGTCCACGTATTCCCCCTCTTTCATGTGAATGGCCGTCGACTTGGTTTGAGTGTCGCTTAATCTCCCCGTCTGTGTCGCGGAAAAGCGGATTTGCCATTGAATTCACCGGTTTCCTGTACTTTGCAGGTAAATGGCCAGTACTCCCGAGTCCTCAGAGTACATTGACACCGAGGGAACCAGCACTGTCAAGGAGAGCATTAATCTGGTTGACACTGTCGACGATCCTACTCTAGATTGGGTCGGTGCGGAACCCCGAGGGATAGCCTAGATCTATAGTTACACTGGTAGGCAAGCTTATACAGTCGTCGAGTACGGCGACGGCCAGGAGGGGTTTCGGAGAAATTTCAAAATCATGAGGCCGACATAGGACGCTCGTATTTGCTCGGAGTTTACTCAGGATGCCTTCCCCATGTATGAGATCATGTTCAAAGACCTCGGGCTCCGACTTCCTTTCAACGACTTCTAGATGGGAGAGTTCAATCATTTGAACTTGGCTCCCTCCCAGATTCATCCCAATGCGATTGCCTTTATTCGGGCATTCGAACTTAAGTGTCGTTTCCTGAGGATCGGGGCAACGATTCCCCTGTTCTTCAGGGTTTTTCACCTATAACTGCAGTCCCGAGGAGGGAAACATAGTTGGGTGTCCCTTAAGCAGTCTAAAAGGCTGTTTAGGATGTACATGGATTCTGTTCAGGATTTCAAGGACAAATGGTACATCTTGCAACCATCTATACAGACAATTGTGGATTCATTGTTCGAACTGGATACCGTGGTGGATGAGGATGGGGAGCCGTGTTTGGACTCTGAGGGTAATCCTGAGATGGGGAGAATCTCAAAGTTTCCCATCCACTGGTGCTCGGCCCATTACAACCATGGACCTGGATATTACCATACTCCCTCCGGCGGTATGAGCTCCGAGGACGAGGAGGCATATGGCGTCCTAAATAAATTCGTCGACGATTTCTTCCCCGCTTGGTGGGTTACGAGGGAAGGAAACAATATTATTGATGAGGACGGAGAGCCAACGTTCGAGGCACGTCCGATCAACACCAAGGCGCTCGTCGAGTGTCATTATTACAGGCAAGCTGTAGACCTCTTAGGTTTCTTGCTTACTCTACTATATTAATAGCCTTCTTTTTTTTCTTCTTCGACGTAGCTAACCCGATCACATTTTCTTTGCAGGTTACATGGCAGAACAACGAGAGAGATTGCTGAAGTTGACCCAAGATAAGAAGATCAATAAAAGGCTGGTGAAGTCGCAGCAAGCTACGCGTATGGGTCCAACCCCCGAGCCGGCCAGGGAAGGATCCAATGGGACCTCGGGTTCTCGTGACATCGAGCGCCAACCTGCATTGTTGAGAAAAAGATGGAGTCGACCAGAAGGCGGAGTTGATGTGACTGATGGAGGGGCGGGTGCCCGGGCCTTCAGCCTCCCACCCTGTTTTATGGAAAAAATACTTCTTTGAGGGGTTTCCCTTGACTGTGTCCGACAACGAGGCCGATATCATCAGATGGATCGACAAGGAAGGTCGAAGGAAGCACCTCGTTGACAGCATGATCGAGGTGGTGAAGATGGTTGAGATGGCGGTTGTCCTTGCGGGTGAAGGGTCAGACTCCTCGGATCGGATCAAGGAGCTGGAGTTAGAGAAGGCGACTCTCATGGCAAAAACCTGCAAACTGAAAACGACTCTTGAACAAAGCGAGGAGATGTTTCGGGAGCAGTCCGACATGCTGTCAGGGGAGAAGGAGAGAGCCGACAGAGCCCTCGAAGACAAAGAATTCCTCCAGCTTGATAAGGAGCAGTTGGAGAGTGACAACCAATGGCTGCTAAGGGAGGTTGAAGATATGAGGGCCGTTATGCTGCCCGCGGAGGGCGAGCCTGAAGGGGTGGCTGACTTGTGCATGCGTGCTGATTTTATCGCTCGAATTCAACTCTTGGAGTTGGACTGTATTGATGCTTTGGCCGACGACTTTGAGTCTGTTGTGAATCAACTTTCCGTGTTGAACCCGGGGTTGAATACTGAAGGAATTGGGGTTCTGTCCCAGGTTGTTGATGGCCGGGTGGTCCCTCCTCTTGGCTCTCCTGATGCCGAAGTTGGAACTCCGGGGAGTGATTGATATTTTTGTTTCATTTTGTATTTGGGCCTGCGTGCCCGTGATATTTGTAATATTCAAACATCTTCAACCCAAGTGGTCGCCTTTGGCAATTATTTCACTTTATTTTATGCTTATCGTTATTACTGTTTGTCGTTGTTTTTGACTGTTTATTTAATGAATACTTGGTATAACCTTTGGATATATGTGCCCGACCATTGTTGCGGTTGTTTATGAATTTTCCACGAAGTTCGTGTTTTTCGTGTGGAGATATGCGATCGACCCTAATATCAGTTCGATACACGTTGAAATGTGTCGAGGGCGCGGAGTGGGAATCTGTGGGACGGGCGTATGATCGCGATCGGGATCCTACGCTCGTGGCGTGAACTTCCCATCGCGAGCTGGGTGTTCTGCCATGTTAGGGTACTTCGACAGTAGAACTCGATCGAGGTGTCACTGTCTGCAAAGGATGTTGCTCGTCAAAATGAACAACATCCTGCTTTTTGTTGGTTGGTAGGTCGCGTCCGTACCTCAATGCACCTACATGGTCGAGCTTTTCCCTTCTTCGACTGAAGATGAATATTCGATGGCAAAAGTCCTCAGCAGGCGAGGGACTTAGCTATAATATTGTTTTAGCTTTGCAGCATTCCAAGGTCGAGGTAGTGGTTCTCCATTTAATTGCTCGAGGTAATATGCTCTGGTTCTCGTAGCTCCCTGGATACGGTAAGGTCCCTCCCAGTTTGCGGCCAACTTTCCTTCGCGATAATCCTTCTGGTTTCTTTTCAAGACTAGGTTGTC